TGTGTGCACCATTTCACAAATGAATGCCCATCTCCTCCTGCTTTCATGTATTTCCCTCAGACACCGTGCTGTGTGTCTGGACTTGTTTTAGGCCCCTTCAAACACTTCTGTCCTGGCCATTTCCCTTAAAGCCTCAACTTAAAACGGCGCAGGATATAAAGCAGCCACCGCATGTAGAGCCAGTGTTTTGGACGAGTTTAAAAGAGTCCTAGAGAAGAAAGGGGGATAAATAATAACAGTACTAAAAGGTAAAGCATAATAAAGCTCTAGTTTTCTTAGGGAAGTGGAAGCTTTCATCTCTCTATAACAATAATGTTCTCAATGTGTTTAGTCCGGGGCCCTTCGAGTGGCAGACATGAAAGGCCACAGTGGGACTGCACAGACCTGCTCTCACTGGAATATGGTATCTATCCTCTCCTTTCTTCTCCTCTCCGCCTCCTCCCCCCCTCCTCCACCTCCCTCCCTCCACCCGATGAAGGTAATGGGGAGCTTGGTGGCTTGCAGTGACAGCAAACCATGTTAAAATGGCTGTCAATGCCCCCCTCCCCCGTCCGCGAGGCCCCCCCCCGGGTTTAGGGAATCTGGGGCAGATTTAAGGGATTATGCGTCAGGCCTCACGTCCTCACGCACCTAGCAGCTGTTGCATGCTTCAGACTCTGTGTTTACAGCTACTCAGCTAGGACTCACTGTGCCACACTCTCATATTTCATACTTCATAAATACAGTTTGTCCATTTTCATTGGTCCCCTCATTACCTGGATTTATATTTATGGATTTGCTTTGTTTAGTTTTTTCACACTTCACTTCAGTTTCTCTCATTGTTTCCTACTTGATGTGTAAGCCATGTGCAGGGAAAAGCGATATAAGCCATATTCCTACCTCCCTCCCTGGAGACTTATCACAAAAACAAAAGAGATTAGACACCCTGGATTAAAATTAGTGGAAGATAACACATATTTGTGCACTCATTTGGACGCTTTTTAATCCTGTGTATTAATTAAATCCTGCTTACAATTAAATTATTTGAATTCCAGTTTGTTGGGGTTCCCCTCCCCGAAAACCTACAATTTCCTTTGCTTCTTAGTAAATCCACTCACACATTTGTTTTCTGTACCGCCCACTTCCCTTTATCTCTTCTACACCCACCTTCCCACTGCCTCCCCTCCCCCTCGTCGTCCTTTTCCTCTTTGCCTCAGCACTTTGAGGCTTAAGCGAGGGATGTACCACATCGGCCACTCCCTTCTGACAGCCACCCCCTTCCCACAGAGTGGAATGGCACAGTCCTGCTTTGCATAAGTTTCCTCTGAGTGGGTTGTGGTTGGAGGCCAGCACTGGAAGAATTATTAAACCCTTTTGAGCGGCTTGGATGTTTGTCCAGAGAGAAAGCTAGTGTGCTGCTGTGCTGTATCTGTATCGCTTAAACTGAGAAAGCTATAATGTATTGCGCCTACCCTGTCCCAGGAATGGGCAGTAACTCTTTAATGTATTACTACAACGGGAAATCGGTGAGTAGTCTCTTTGGGAATGTGTGTGTGTGTGTGTGTGTGTGTGTGTGTGTTTGAGACAGAGAAGAGCTGGAAGAAGTGTGTGTCTGCGGCCGTCTCAGTGTTCCTCTATAATTTTAGGTATTTCATCTATTTGAACATTGAAGCACTGTGTTCTTGTGTGTGTGTGTGTGTGTGCCTAAGGCTTCCCTCTCTGATTTTCCATTACATCAGTTAATGCTGTGTGACAATAGAATTTCATTATAATTTTAAAGTTTTGAGCACTTTTGTATGCTGCTTTGTAGCTGTGTACAAGTTAATATGCGAGGCAACAAATAAGAGAAAACTTGTGCCATTTTGAAAACTTTTTATACATTTTTTTATACATACATACGTCTTGACACAAAAAGATTTTTGCAGACTTGAGCTTTGACTGTTGAAATGATAGCAAGTGGGAGTCTGAGAATGATTCAGAGTTCGAGGTCCCTGTTGAGGTTGGACTTTCCTGTTTGCAGATCGAGCTCTAAGCACAAGTGTTGCTGTTTCTCCATCTGTCTTTAATCACATTGGCATTCTTGACACCACAGGGAGCCTAATCTGCTTTCTGAACTTCCCTGTAATGGTCTCTCTGATTTAACTTAGTTGTTACTTAGATGTTTTCTGTGTGAGGAAGACTTTAAGAATCATTATGTCTGTGAGTGTGTGTGCGCATGTGTATATGTATGCATGTGTTTGTTTGCTGCACTTTACGGAAACACTTTTTCAATAAACCTTAGGTTTTACGTAAGGATGTTGGAGTTTGTGGTGAAGTAGTTGTTTGTAATTATAGTATAGTTCTGAAGATGGCTGAACCAGTTCTGTAGCATTTTTTATTCATTCTTAAGTGATAATCCTAAGAAAACTACACAGGAAGATTTCCACCTGTCTTTGGCTGTGCTGTTGTTACTATTACTGAAAGAGCAATCTTTTATAGTTATTCTATTGAAAAGGTAATTTTTCTCACGCATGTGTTTAAAGTTTTCCTTATACCCTGTTACGCCATTTCCTCTTTGTTCCCGCTGGATGTATGATGACTTTGATCTTTTTCATATTAAGTATTAACAGGCTTGTGTTATAGTTGATTACGCGGAGAAAATGGATAACATGTGGAAAGATCAAGCAAACTTAACTATCAAAAGCACATGTTAAATAACTTTTTTTTTATCCTGTTTTCTTTGCAAAGATGAAGAAAAACCCCGTTTGCGCTCATTCTATTCATCTATTGGATCCACATTCATTTATTATAGTGCAGAGCTGCATAGCGGGCTCACCATCTGGAGCACCGGGCCATTGGCCTGTGAGCTGGTGGCACAGAACCAATACAGATGGAGCCGCTCACTGATCTTTCTTTCATTGAGAAAGATCTGTTTTAGTGAAAACCCTGCAGGGATGTTTGGAGCATGTTACCCTTGTTTTGATGAACAGAAACAGAAGAAGAGCGGAATGTCATGGAATGAGATCTGAGAGGTACATAGAAACGCAAGAGGGATAGCGTGTGTTGTTTGAGGTGACGGTTGTTGTGTTGTAGTGCAACAGGTTAGCACTCATTGCCGGAGGCTAATCCTTACATTAGCACTGAAGCATGCGTGCTTGTGCAGTCGGGGGGGGAGGGAATACATTCTGTTCTATTCTGTCTTGTGAGTATTTACCTACCTGTGGTTTTATAATTTACCTTTTAAATATTTAGAAATAAATTCCTCAATCTAAAAATATCTCCAGTGAATGATGGTCTTTTTCATGGCTTTTAATGTAATGACAATACTGAGCTCTTTTTTCCCAGAGAGCACTGGCTCCCGCACAAATGTTCAACAACGCTCATTGTTTATTTGAGGTGGCGACGTGTGTGAGATTTGGACTTGAAACTAAATTCCCCAGTGATATGGTTCAATTTTAAATAATGACATACGGCACTTTGAACTCTTCTCCTTGAGCTCCCCGAGCCATAAACCTTATTATCTTTATATTTTTCGGGAATTGCCCTTCTTTTCCTGTTATTGCGTTACATCCCGAGTGTAAGTTGTGTTACATGAACTTTAGAGGCAGACGGGCTAAGAGACAAGGGGGGAGGGGGACAGGATGTATTCACTTGTCAGTTGGCAAGACGAAAAACTGAACAAATAACGCAACACATAATCTGATGCAGCTTATATTCACCAACTGTTTCTATTATCGCCAATTTATCACAAATACTCATGATGTAACATTCACTTATCAGGAGGGAAAATGATTACGCCATTGTTTGTCTTACTGTTATTTATAATCGTTACAAATAACTGTGTTCATTTGGTGTTTGTGACACACGGTTACTTGCTTTACTAGTGAGCCTCAGTTCAGGTTATGTGAATTGGGCACAAATGGGAATTCATTTGTTTTAATATAAAATACCCCAAAGGTACTTCAAACAACCGGTGTAGGTCTGTGTTGGTGTGCTGATCCGTGGGAGTGACAGCTTTTAATTAATGGGCTTGTAAAAGGAAACCCAGGTGGGCCCTCTGTTCCATAGGCCGGCCAACGAGGCACCCAGTGTTAGGCGATGGTTTATTAATGCTTCGACTGGTTAGCCCAGGGTAAAAAGGACAATTAGCATTCCCGCCGCCATATGCTACACATTGAGCGTCTGACAGAGGGAAAAGACAAAAGGCCCGGCCTCCTAAACCTGAGCTACTATCAACCCCGGGCACATGTGTAAACCAGAAGACCCACGAGAGACCCCCCCCCCCCCCCCCCCCCCTCCGGAGCACTTTAATTACACTGCCAGGCAACAGCGCGCTGTAGTCCCGAGCTCACTCAGCAAAGCCCCACACAGTCTCACTCGGGCCGCACTCTGCGTTGAGGTTGTGTTCTGGCGGGCTGTGAGTAACGTTGGTCTGCGGCCCTCCAGTCCCTCTGTGGGATGGAGAGTCTCTCTCTCGCGTGGTCCGTTCTCGTCCCCGCACCGTCCCTCCATCCCCCCATCTGGGGTGGATGAAGTCAGGGACCACGTCGCGGGTTATTGGCCTCTGGTCTGTTTGATCCTCCCGCCTTGCTTGGCACACACAGCTGTGAAACAGCAGGCCCATTGTGCCCCTCCTGTCACTGTACCACCACCAGCTTGCAGGTAGCAATATGAGGAAAGCGAGGCAGGCTGTTTTTGTAGCAGTCATTTGATTTCTGCCTCTTTGGGAATCCTGTAATTTGTCACGCATTTAGTGAGCGGGTGTCATTATACTTCCATTAGAGGTTGCGTTGATCCGAAATGCAAATACCCCCGATAATCCACTCCCCGGCTCCCCAGCTTGATTGCTTGCTAGCCATTAAAGTGTGTTTGTGGTTTTAAGGGCGGATCCGCAGTACATGTGTTTTTATCACATACTTGGATGTACCCAAAATATTAGTAGTGATACTTCCCATGAATAAACATTCAAAACACAGCAGTTTTTCACAGGTTTCAGCATCATCTTGTGTTAGATGTGCGTAACATTTATGTTTCCGCGGCAGGTGTACGCACCGTCTCCAAACTCGGAAGACTTCAACAGAGATTCACCTTCCTTCTCTTCTCCCAAACCCTCCAGCAGTATGTTCGCAAGCACTTTCTTTGGTAAGTTCAAAAGTTTATAATTTGATTCTTGGCCCACTGGTTTCTAAATGACGTATTATTTAGTAGTATTTCCATTAGTTCTTATTTCTTAGAACATCATTTGTTAAATTGTTGTCATTGGCAGTGACATACGAATACCTCAATACTGTGATAATTTTAAGACAATATTTAGTATTTAATATTATGAAGGCTGTTCAGTATTTACTTCCGTGTGACTGAAAGAACAGATTTTTATCTTTGTGTTAGCTCAGCTGTGTTCAGGATAGGGATCGGAGGTCGGAGGTCAGCGGCTGTCTGACACTGTGTCAAAACTAAAATGCAATTTGTTCACAATAATAAGCTGAAATGAATCATGCATTATCTTCAGATGGCACCCACGGTTCGTCTGACCCGTGGAACTCGTCCAATGGGATCAGTCAGCCCGGGTACGGGGGAATGCTGGCCGGATCGTCATCTCATTTGCCACAGTCCGGAAACTACAGCAGCCTGCACTCGCACGACCGTCTGGTAACTAATATTATGAGCATTTAAACTCGTGTCATAAATGATTGTTTGTTTATTTAGTATCAAACTAACGTAAGAGATCTAATGTGAGCAGCATGCAACTGATTTTTTCATCCATCCACCCACTCACCGTTAGAGTGTGTGTGCGTTCTAAGTTGTTGTCTAGATATTATCAGTGGAGACACTGCTGACCCTTCCTGTCAGTGTTTGATGTGCCTCAGCTGGCGTCACAGGGAGCCTGCAGATGCTGCCTGCCCTCTCTTTATCGCCGTCCCTCCACCGAGTAACTTTTGCTTCATCACAGCCCGGGAGATGTCAGGCGGAATATAGAATTCACAGAATAAATAAAAGCGCCACCTCTCTTTATCTCTTTCTTTCTCTCTCTCTGATGCACACACACCCACACAGAGAGACACATTTGTGACTGAAATCATTGATTTGCTTTTAATCTTTCAGAATTATCCCGCACACTCTGTCTCCCCGGACATCAATGCCAGTCTTCCTCCCATGTCCACCTTCCACCGAGGCAACACCAGCACTTCTCCATTCCTCACCGAGGCGCACAGCACCTCCGTCAACACAGTCGACGGGGTCATGGGTAAGTTCTTGTGTTAAGCGCTCAGCTACCTGCTCCGAACGTCTAATTCAATGCCTCCGACGGGGTCACCGCCGAACATTCATTCAGCTAAAGCAGAGAGTCAGGCGGTGAGACAGCTGCTTTGTGCACCGTGACCACTCGTCATTTGTCAGAGTTTGCTGTTACAAAGCTTCCCTCTGTGTTTTCTTAGCTGCTGCAAATCGGGGGAACGTGGCTGGAAGCTCACAGACCGGTGACGCACTGGGCAAGGCTTTAGCCTCGGTGAGTTAAAACCCCACATTTGACTCTGACATTCTTTCACAGCGTCAATGGGTGTTTTTCAAAGCGCACTAGTACGCTGGTTTGGGGTGTCTTGTTCAGTATATCATGTTTACGTGGAACGAGATAAAACCTGGTGGTTCATATCATCTAAGTCATGTAGTATCCCGGTAGCGTGATCAGGCTTCTCAAAACTTTACATTGGCAGAATGTTAGAGACATACTACAAAAAACCTGGTCGTGGCCCGGCTTCACTCAATTTGTTTTAAGAATGTGCTTTAAACAACACAGAAGTCTCGAGTCTGACCTGCTCTCAGAGTGTGATGCTCACGTCTTCTCTGCACTCTACCCTACAATTATTTGTTATTTTTCTGCTAAATAAAATAATGTTTCTGTCTTTAAAGAAGTTGACCTCAGTAATCGTGCAGGGAATTAAGTGCTATACTGACTGCTGATTAAAAAATAACCCAAAGGACAGGTTTGTAGTGTTTTTTTTGGCCTAAGCCTGGATAACTGTGGCTTAAACTAAGAGCATTCAAGAAAGGGAATTGTACATCGGAAAATGCTCTTAAAGCCAGTGGATTACATTTCACTTTGGAAAACCATCCCTGAATATCAGTGACATCCTGTCATGCATCGCATTAAGTGTTTAATTTGCTGTATCTCTCATAATGGAAGGGAATGCGTACGGTTGTACTGATTCAGTCTTTATGGTGTATAACAGGGCCCCAGAGCTCCATCATAACATATTTACAGTATAAAAGAAGATATTTAACAATACAATCGGTTCCAAATACGATTGCAGAGAGTATCTATCGGGCCTCATTTTTTAACTAAGGAGGATATTTGCGCAATAATGATAAAATCAAGCTTAAGGGCAACCATCAACAGGTTTAACATTCACCTTTTGAACTCCACTTTAGTAAACATGTATATTTCTGCTTTCTTTGTGCCCCTTTTAAATTTAAAAGTCTACACCTCTAAACAAATGTCCTTGTATTTTGTTAATCATGTTGCGTAGACATAATGTGTGCACTGACACTGGAGTTTTCAAAATGTCTTTTTTGTACACGCCCTTCGCAGAAAAACGTTCAGGAGGGATGTCTCTCATCCGTGTAAAGACAAACTATGAGAGTTTGGCAATGCTAATAACAAATTAAGTCCTTTATATTTGCAGACTCAATTCTATTAGCATGACAAAGAGGGAGTGAAATGGACACGGTTGGACTGGGTGGGGGTGGGTGGATGAAGCAGGGGGCACAAGGGAGTTTATAACTGCTGTGGCTCAACTCCACGGGCCGCCCTTTGTAGAGCTTTTGTTCTTCGTCCTTTTAAATTGGCCGTGCTTATTGGCCCCATGCCGCCTGCGGGAGCGTGACTGATGATGAGGCGGAGCTTTCATTTATTCCACTAAAATGAGCCATGTTTCATTTTGAATGCAACGGTAGTAGCCAGGGAGTGAAAATAATAGAAAGTCACATATCGTCGGGTCAGAAGTCGCGGAAATAAACAGCTGGCTTTTGAGAAACTGAGAAATATTGGGATATATTTGTGCTGAGTGTAGAAAAGCGTAAATAGTTTTTATTTCCTTGCTTTAGAAAACAGTCTATCGCTCCTCCTCCACACTCCATTGTAACCTCCGTCCTGATTCTCCAAGTTGATTGAAAAAGTTAAGCCCGGAGATCAAGATTGAATAAGGAGATTATTTATAATGAGCGCATTCTATCCTCCTCACAGAAGTCAAACGGTTTCCTGCAAGCTCAATTTGATCTTAACTTGGAGGAGAAATCTCTGCGGATCTTCTTTTTTTCTCTGCTAATTAGTCAGGATCCACCAGTAATACCCTGAGTTCTCTGAGACATGTCCCTTTATGTCACAATATCCTTTTATTACAGGAGGGGAACAAATCAGGGATGTGAGGGATGTGTTTGTGCTTTAATCCAGCATTTTTTGAAACAAGTGAAATCCCTGTGGACGTTTTCTCGACGTAATCTCCTCGTTGTTTTGATTAACATGTCAACCTCAAACTCCATGACCTTGTATGTAACCGGCAAAGGAAGGATGGACACATGGACGTTATGTAGAAATAAAACTGAAACTAGTTTAGGCATTGGCAAAGATAAGCAGTTCATAGATTAGACAAACAAACAGAAACATATTATTATTGGAGGTTTGCTGTTGTTGGCTGAACAGCGTAACATTTGTTTTTTTTAATCATTAATTATGAGCATTTCAACTACATTTATATTTTTTGTGGTACAAACATATTTAAATGTGCAAAGTAAAGTGTCTACTATTCAATTCAAATCATTTATTTTGTATAGACAACTTAATCCAGCCACATTAAATTAAAGGTACTATTAAGATATACTGTATTTTCGACTGACAGGCAGAAGCGAATACAGAAACAGATGGAAAACATCAAAATTTATGATTAATTTTGTTGAGGCTGTGCACTGAACAAATGACTGTTAGTAGCTCATATATATATATATATATATATATATATATATATATATATATATATACATACATTGGCAAAAAAGTCTCCATAGTTGATGTAACATTTTTATTTTATTGTTTTTTTCTTCCGGCTGCTGATTAAGGATGAATGCTACTTTTCTCCCTCCTACAGATTTACTCTCCGGACCACACTAGCAGTAGTTTTCCATCCAACCCCTCGACACCCATGGGTTCTCCTTCACCTTTGGCAGCCACAGCAGGTGCTGCCTCAGCGAGCTCCGTGGCGGCTGCTGCTGGACCCCCGTCTGGAAGGCCAGGTAAATATCACTGCAGGATTCTAATCGCAGACTCGCCTCCTATGCACCGACTCCCGCCATTAATCCGGCATTGAAAGCATCAATCTTTCAATTTCAATCAATTTTAAAAGACATTTTATGAAATGTTTTTTCATTTGCAGAACAAACATTTATTTCAAGCAAACGGAAGGGGTGCCTTGTTCAGATATACTGATCTAGCTGGATTGAGTGTCAGTGACAATGCGCTGCTTTGCTGCGATCTGCTATCGAATTCCACTATTTCAATGAATGGCAGTTTAGCACATTTATATCTGTGTTTATTTGTAATGTTTCTTTTTACTTTTTAATTGTTGACTCAGAAAAGACTCATTTTCTAAGTGATGGAAATTAAGTCTTAATGGCAAGTTTCTGGAATCCCGGTTTGTGTTTAAAAGACTAAAGCCGGAGCTTTTAACGTGCTCATGGATTGGAAAGTCTAGTAATGTGTGCTTGGTTTATGTTTCATGTCTGCCTAAATTGTTTATGATAGATAGACAAGCCTGGATAGACAAACCCAACCCATGCATTTCAAAGAGCGCCGTGTGGCGGCTCCAGTTCTTGACAGACTTTTCACAGTGAACTGATGCATGTATGAGAAGGATGGTCGGACATGTTGACCGAGGTGAGAGAGTAATGGAAAGTGAACGAGGGCTGAGCGAGCTGAGGGAAATCCCAGCATGTTGTTCTAACGGGCAGTTGTGTCATGTGCTGTAACGGAGTGGTAACAGCTGTCTCTATGTGTGCCCCCCCCCCCCCTCCTCAGCTGTTGCCTTGGCCCACGGACAGCTGTTGTCCCCAACACACACACACACACACACACACACACACAGACCAAGCTGCAAAAGGCCTCGTTTATCTGCCCATGGATGAAGGAGGGTAGCTGTGACTCAGCCGATAACATTGGGAGATTCCCCCTCTTGACCTTCTTGCAGCACGGCATGCCACCACACCTGGCAGCGTAACGATAGAGTTTATTGTCCAGTTCATCAGGAAATTCAAAGTTACCTGATCATTTTTTTCATTTAATATGTCAAGTTCAGTGTATTGTTTAATTAATATGCATGGAATAAAAACAAAAACACAAAAATGGATACTTCTGGTATTTTAGGAAATGGATATTGTGTCGCTAATTGTTCAATCCTATTATGCTCCTGGGATGAGAAAAAAGGACGATACTTTAAAATTGGAACATAATTTGTCTCGCTGTAGAAAATCCATTCATCACTCGGATTACACCAGTAAGCAGCACATTACTCAGGACTGGATTGTTCAATTAGAGAGCTCAGCCACATCTTCGTAGGAGCCAGCTAGGAGAGAAGTTTCTGTCTCACTCACCTAGATTTTTTATTTCCTCTTTCATTTAAGTCATTTTTAATGGCCTGTTAATTACAGTCTAATTAAAGCGGTGAGTATAAACCTAAAAAGTAAACATGAAAACTTCTGTACAGATATATTTTACTTTCAATGTGATCGTTATTGAGCTGTTTTGGAAAAACTATGGTGTTGCGTTAGTATTTTCTCCCACCAATTAAATTTGATTTGTAAAAGCAAACAAACATTGACTCAATCTAATCACACATGGGACCATTTGCAGCCTCGTTATTATAAGAAGATTGAGGTTTTTTTTTATTCACCCTACAACCTAAAGAGAATCCATCTGTTGAGTCCATTAACTGGGATGGGGGTTGAGTTTGAGGTGCTCTGGGCTGGAGATCCACACACATCCCATTCTGGGAATAACATGGAAAGGGTCATAATTGTCTACTGAGGTTATTTGATTGGATAATGCAAATGGAAGGCAGGTTACATAGACGATTGAGCTTTCAAAAAGAGAGAGCAGATGTGGATTCCTTTTCTTTCGCACTAATGTACACCAGATAAAATCGACTTGATTTGCTTTCCGGTTCTGGCCCATAGATTTCATTTTTGGCTCAAATAAATGTAGAAAACTGGGAAGTTCTTCCAGCCAAAGGTAAATCAAGAGCAGTGTCTTAAGTTTCTCTATTTGTAAATGACATGATTAAAATGCAAAATGTTTCATTTGGAAAGAATATAATTTAGCAGAAAAGCTGGCTAAATGGGATGTATTGTTGTGAATGAAATAGTTGAATCCAGATGTGTATGCCGTTGAATACATGCCACTGCATCATCAGTCAAATCAAAGTTTGACTGAAAAAATAAAAATAAATAACTGCCTCATTGGAAAATGTATTGTAAGAGCTTTATTGACCTCAGATGCTTGGCATATTTTCTTCATCGGAGTCCTTGAGCCATGAGCTGAAAGGCTTCTCAACCGCATGTTTTAAATCACTCGGATGTGTTAGAAGACTCAAAGTTTCAAGGAAAGAGCGAGTGAGGAGGAAAACTGACGATATCAGATCTCTCATAGTCGTTCTTATTGATATGCAGATGAAGTGTACATTTTAGGTATGAGGGTTCTATTAAACCGCTCGCTTGTTTGTCAGGATGTAGTCCAGCCATCAGGAAGTGATGCAACTGAGGAATAAGGGATCAAAACATCCTACACATGACAACAAGGACCCAGAAAATCCTGATGTCAGTGTGTTTTGACTGCGTGTGTCAGTTAGCTTTTGTATTTTTTGCACCCAGTGGAGCAGGATTCAGCCATCCGCCGTGTTGATTTGAAACCCCATCTGAGGATCGCTAATGCTGACCTCGTCACGACCTCTTCCTCCCTCCATCAGGTACCAACCAGTGGCCCCGTGCCGGCGGACAAACCCCCTCCTCTCCGACTTACGAGAACTCTCTTCACTCACTGGTAAGCTTCCTCCCTCTTACACAATAGACAGAAGTTACACAGGAAAGAGTGAGCTGGCATCGGAGGGAGATTCCTGTCTGACAAATGTTTTGCTGAGGAAGGTGGGGGCAGAGGGATAACCAAACTGAACAATACCTGTCCCTTGGGGGCTTGCCATCTGTCCTCCACTGCGAGGCCCGGGACCGGGATGACAGTTGGGGGATGGGTTTTAGTGCAGGTCTCTGGTGTTTGGGCGGCAGCTGCTTGCTGAACAATTTCTCCGGGATTCCTTCGATGCCATGCGACCAGAACCGCGGATCAGCTTTCACCCAGTTTACTACCCGGAGCAAATGTCAGGCAAATTACATTTTCTGCTGGGGAGTATATTATAGCTAAATCTATTATATGCCATGCATGTAATAGTAGAGATAAATAAAACAGAACACCGTCTGCTGTCAAGTCAAAGAAAGATTCAAGGCTATTTTCTAATGGATCTCTAAACTTATTAAGCCATGATTTTACTACAGTAAACATCTTAAGACCCATACAGGCTGTATTTGTTTTGTAAAATCTATTAAAAAGGTTTTCCGGGACGTACTGATGGATAATCCACGATAATCCACACTTATTGTTTTAAAAGAACAATAACAGTTGAAACAACATTAAATTGTTCAAATCTTTCCAGTTATCACACAGTCAAAAATCGCATGTGAGGAGGGCATTGGACGTAACCGCGTTAGATGTTTCCTCCCTCTGTGTCTCCAGCATAGTTTTGCCTCTTCATGGCCACCGAAGATAAAGTGCGAGTACACAAGTGAGGCTGACAATGGACGTGAATTGAATCAGATAAGCTGACAATTACATGCTGATAAGACTAATGTGGCGACAAAATTCAATTCACATCCTGTTTGACAATATGTAAACCATCTTGGCCATAAAGCGGTGTGCTTTTATCTTAATTTTTATATATTTGATGTTGTAACTTAGTTTGTTTGACTTGTTGGTGGAAGGGCAGGGCCGGCAGAAGAGTAAAAGGTAGAGGACAAATAAACATTAGTAGAAGGACTAAACACAAGCTAATCTTGTAAGTGAATATTTAATCATGAATTTAAGACTTATTTTTATTAAATTCTGTGAAATATACAATGATCAAAGCAGGCTTTATTACTAGAGTGACATTTACCTTAATGGAGAAATAAAATGTTGCACTTTGGAGCCAACACTGTAAAGATTGTATTACTATAATATGGAGGATGTGAACTTTGTGTAACACCTCCTACGATGCCCAAAGAAGAGGGGAATAGAGCAATACTGTAGACGTGGGTATTAAATGGGCAAACATCCTTACAAAATGGCTGGTCAGCATCTGTGTGCTTCCTTCTAAATCCTGCCCTTCTTGTCTGTGTGTCTCTGCAAAAACAGTCTCAATCCGCAGTGTGTACAGTGTGTACAGTACTTATAGAAACTGATCTATTTTCATAATCCTGTCTTATTCTTATTTGACTTTACCAGAAAAACAGAGTTCATCAGCAGTTACATGAGCATCTCCAGGATGCCATGTCTTTCTTAAAGGATGTCTGCGAGGTATTCTTCCAAAAAACTCTTTACTCATTACTTGTCCCATGCGTCTTTGCATTATCATCATTTTCTTTTTGACTTGCGGTCCACACACCTCACCGCGTGCTGCAGTTTCATTTTTACTGCCTCTGTTGACGTATTGTCCTGTTGTGTTTTTGCTGTTCCAGCTTAAGTTATTCTAATGTTGAATACTAAATTCATTGTCGAAGAACACATTTGTCAATTATCCAGTTTTACAGAAATGAAGGCATTTGTTTGACTTTTACAACTCAAGCTGAAACAGCTCAATTTATCTTGCGTTTGAATTGCCTTCTTTATCTCTTGTTTCAAATGTGTTTTCTTTTTGGTCCTTTTAAAGTCCACGCCGTACAATCAGTGTTTGAAATCTTTTGTCCTAATGTGCTTCTAGTAAGCTTCTTTGTCCTGCTTCTCCTCTCCCTCTCCCTTCCCTCTCCAAACCCTCCGGTCCACCCAGTCCCGAATGGAGGACCGCCTGGACAGACTGGATGACGCAATCCTCGTCCTGAGGAACCATGCGGTGGGCTCCACCGCCGCTCTGCCCAGCGACTTACACAGTCTGCTGGGACAGGCCCAAAGCGGGCCCGTGGCAGCCGCCGGGGCAAACTTCCCCGCCTCCGCATTGGCCCCCGGTCGGACGGCAGCGATGGTAAGAGAACTTCACACGAATGCTAATGTCTTTATTTTTATGTGGATATTGCAAAAAGCACAGGAGAAAACATTGCTGTGGTCCCTAATGTTGATTTAAACTTCACAGCGCCTGCTGCTCAAAACAGGTCCGCTGCCATGTGTAAAAACTAGACGTTTTTTCCTCACACGAACAGTTGAATTCACCCCCACATATTTTCCATAAGTGTCATGGCTGGCCCGACTAGCGCTGCTCTTGTGAGGGACTGTATACACAAGGGGCAAATAGGAAAACAGGCAAAATGGAGAGAAGTTCGTTGTACGAAGTGTATATTTATTGCTCTAAATCTCTGGAGAAACGGGACAATGCAGCTTTTATTATAAATCATGACTCTATCTCAAGTATTTCATTTTAAAGAGCCAAGAGATTTGAAAACAGCTGCTGTGGAAAGACGCTCGTCCAAATGTGATCCAGAGGTGAATGGAAATAATAATTTGGTGAAAATGAATCATAAATATCAATAATAGTCCTCTGATGAAAATAATGTCCTCTAGTTTTGCTTTACGGATTTCTTTGTGATTTGTTGATAATCGAAGCTGCCAGCAATTTTGGTCGTACCGTTAATCGGGACTTTCTACGTCTTTGCTCTGGGCTTCTCAAATCTAATTCGTCTCTACTCTAATTTATTCTGTCTACAGCTTTTGAATAGAGCTGAATGTCTCTCGTGTGTTGTAAGGCTCTGTGTTTCCAGTCGTTGCATCTTTCGGAGTGACTTGATTTGTCTCCTAACAAGAATCCCCCTGTGGTCGTCAGAAGGGTTCAGTTTGATGTATTTGTTACAAAGAGCTGGGTGGTGGCGGTGATGTTGACCAACTGCGACTGTGAGATAGAACATACTGTGTCTTCGCTGACACAGCGCTTCCTGTGTGGCTAGAAGTCCACTCAGACAGAGCTCCCCGGCACAGACGCAGGCTTTTTACTCCGGCCGGCACCCCGCCCCTCTTCCCCCTTCCAGCCCTTTTCAGCGCTTCTTTCTTACAAACCCGGGGAAATCTGAATTGCTCAAAACGTGTCTGAACCCGCTGTCCGCCCAAATAGAGGTCCTCAGCTGTATGGTAATCAGGCCCCGGCCATGAAAATAGCAGCGTTCTTTTCTTGCCAGAGCCCGGCTCCCTCCTCCCCCTGCAGACAAAGAGTTGTTTGGACACCTGTTGAGAGCACAGCAAAGATTAGCGTAGTGCTGAAGAAGGGGAGGGTCTCGGGGTGGCGGGGTTAACATAGGCCAACAGTGACTGGGGATCAAATTCCTTTGAGAAACGGAGCAGACACCCTCCACCCTCAGTGATGGTTTCCCCGCCTTTCTCGGGTTCACAGAGGGGAAATTGAAATAGCTCAAGAACATGTGCTGAGACGCCTCCGGAAGGAGGGTCTTTGTGGTGCAGCCCGATGGAACTAGAACATTTTTATGTTATGAACATGAACAAAACAAGGACGAATTATTCAGACTGCTGCGTTGGTTCAGTTCGACATCTTCTGAAGCGGAACACAAAAATATTTTAAACATGAGAAACGATGTTTCTCAGACAAACAGACTGTCAAAATGAATCCCATATAAATGTAAAACATACTGTTAGTTGGGATGCACTGAACATTTGAAAACACCTTTCTTGACCTGTGTGGATAACCATCTGCCAATGCACTGAAGTTTAATACTCCATTTAAGTTACTCGCTCGTCTCTTGCTCAAAGGACGAAGTCCTGTGCCTCGTCTCCACAGAGCGTCTGCTTCCTTTCCTGACGATGTCCTTCCTGTTTGTGTTGCAACAGGGTGGTGCCCACACTGACGATGCTGCCAGTCTGAACAACAGCCATGGGGGTCTTTCCAGCGCCTGCTCCACATCCAGCACAGAACTTCACCACCAATTGGAAACCTTCCGAGGTCCGATGCCCGCCCCCCCTCCATCTCCCCCGCCCCCCAGTCTTCATTGTGTGACTGACACTTAATGTGTGTGGTGTTTTACCTTTTTTGTTGCCCATTGTCGACTGCAGGTCTCGCTTCAGCTCTGGCTGGTCATTTGCCTGCTTCGCTGGAGCTGAAGGTGGAGAAACAGGACAAGGATGACATGAACGATAACCTCTCTATAAATGAAAAATCAGACGACGAGAGCGACAGAAGAGATGTGAGGACACCCAGAGCAGGCACACGTAGGAGGTAAGAAAAAACAACAACATTATTAGACCTAAAAACTGTCTTAAATCGCCCCAAATCTTGAGGTTTGTGGGGTTTTTTGTCCAGCAAGTTACTTTATTCTTTCCTAAATATGTAAAATACAAAGATAAAGTCTAAGCAGTAACCTAAACATTGTTTACAATCACTGATATTAATCTGTTCCAATATTTCTAAATGAAACTGAAATGGTTGCTATGGAGATCTAGATATTTCCATCTTCAAACTTCTATTCTCCTTATTTTGTAAATAACTTTGTTCTTGTTGTTGTTTGACGTTACCTCGAAAACAGTTCTTTCTCCCAAAGCATCACTGAGGACGAGGACCTTAATCCGGAGCAGAAGGCCGAGCGTGAGCGAGAGAGGAGGATGTCTAACAACGCCCGTGAGCGCCTAAGGGTGCGAGACATCAACGAAGCCTTCAAGGAGCTGGGTCGCATGTGCCAGCTGCACCTGAAAAGCGAGAAGCCCCAAACTAAGCTGCTCATCCTCCATCAAGCCGTGGCTGTCATACTTAACCTGGAGCATCAAGTCAGAGGTTAGTATCCAGCTAATGAAAGCGTTTCCATAGCAATATTGCAAATAACCGAACTGCCGATGGTACATCAAATCTACTCAGTGTCGATTCTTTAAAATGCTTTGCATGGCGTTCCTCCAGGCAGTCATTTTGTTTTAGTATCACGGCCTTTGTGGATACCATAAATCTGGACAAATGAGAAGCAGAGCTGCAGGAAGCAGAGCTGGAGTCTGGTTTATAGGGTGCTGTATCACTGACATATCTGTCAAATGCGGACTAATACTGTGGACACAACTGCAGTAGAGAAACCGCTAGAATCTGTTGGAGAGTGGAAATATGCTGGCCGATGATATTATAGTTTGCTCTACCATAATATTTGTAGATATTCATTTAACGTTTTACCTGTATGATGTTGGAACAGGAACAGATCAAAGCTCTCATTGTTTTAAGAAAAGTGGCAGAAAAGTTAGATTTCCGTCTCTCTGAACCCACAGAGCGCAATTTGAACCCCAAAGCAGCCTGCCTTAAGAGAAGGGAGCAGGAAAAAGTGTCCGAGGGCTCCGGGGACCCCCAACAAGGCAACACAGGGGGGCATCCAGGCCTGACGGACGCTTCTAACCCCATGGGTCACCTCTGAGCAGCGCACAGGTACTCTCAACTCAAAGGCTGCAGCCGACCACTGTTACCATTCATCTGAGGATTGTTTTCTCAAACTATTTTATTATCAATCTTCAGAAAGATCTGTCATTTTGTTCTTATACTTTTTAATGATATCTACATTTTTACAGTAGGATTTTCTTATTTTTTGTCTATGAAATGGTAAATAGGAAACGTGTACCAATAAAAGCACCATGTTTTTGAAGAAGCTAGGCTCTTCTAATATTTGGCACTAGTGCATAAATACATCTTGTGATTAATCAACTAGTTACAAGTTAGTTTATGGTCATCAATAAAATGTAGTGTTTCAGATCTACTCACCTTTTCTATAAATTGCGAAACAACAAATGCACTTTAGTAAACCCTAGGTGGTCATTTTGACCCCAAGATTTGTAGGACATTTCTGTTTTAGAACTCTATTTGTCTCTGATTAGCCTATTTTCCGCTTTGTCTCCAGATCAAAGTAACTCACATCGTTTCCGTCTCGTCGAGTTGGTGACCTTGCTTTCCAGTGACAGACAGGACTCACAGTTTGTGACACCAATCGAAGGAGACCGACCACTCGAAGCAAATCTACGAGTCTGACACAATCGAACCCAAAAAGATTGAAGAAGAGCCGAGCGTCCGGCTCCCTCTGACCCGTTTCCATCTGCAAATTTCTCCCCAGCTCAAAGAAAAGATCCTCAGCACATATCAATGTCTGCAAGAAGTGTTGTTGCTTCTGAACAATCAGAGACTTTGCAATCTCCTCCAAACATTGGAGGAAATTGCCCTGTGCCTAAACCGAATTGACTAATGCATTGTAACAGCAACCGTTTTGTCTGTCTGTTTCTTTTTCTTCTATTTATTATGTTATTGAGCTATAAAGTGTACGTCTAAAGGGAAAGTTCAGCAAAGAGAAGTATAGTGCTTTTCAGTTGATCTATAGTTTGCCAGGATCCCCATTAATACTGAGCACTACACCCTGGAAAATATTTGGCAAGTCCTAGATGAGGGGGAAATATTTGGCCACTGAGAAGATTAATTTATTGGACAGAGGGAAATTTATACCCAAATGAAAATGATCATTAGCTGTTAGAAATACAGCCCCCAATACAAAAAAGCATATTATTTATATTTGTATTAATCCTGCCACCGGCCATCGAAACTACCGTTGATTGTTTCTGCGTAGTTTGGATCGGTTTCTGTGCTGCCAGCCAGCGGAATGATTGTCCCAACTACGTGAGCATAAACAACATGCAGGTGACGGGCGGATGGTAAACTCGGGTGTTGTCATGTTCCTTTTTCCTGGGTAGTGAACAGTGAAAATAAAGTAAACTATTTGCAAACCGTAGCATTCCCGGCATATTGTTAGTATCTTACTTAAAAATAAATGGGACTTTTTTGCCGGCCCCTTTGCCATGTAGTGTTAAATGTAAGCAGGGACAAATCTCATTTAGATGCTCCTGACGTCGCACGGAATTGGCTTGTTTTTTTCATTGTTTCACTACCGGCTAATACCGGCCGAGGTTTTTTGATTAGTTTAAAATTTTAAAAACGCCGATGATTACACGTTCTCCTGGCCCGATGAACACCTCACTTATTTTTCTCTCTGTTAATATTTCAAGACCGTACAGTTTTAATGCAGTTATTCCCGATGAAGTTTTTGTTATACATATTTTGTCTTGTCTTGCAAATGTCTTACGGCTTCCAGCAGTATACTGTCCAGTTTTGATTATGTTTCATCCAACATACATTAAGCCAGACTAGATAGTTTATATGCATTTTGTTAAATATGATAGAAGCACAATGAGGAACAAAAACACTTAATAGGATTGTCTTTTATGTTTAAGACATCAATCATATCTTTAATTTTTAAATGTCATTCTTTAGGTTTGTCTTTGGTCTTAAGACTTGCTTTATATTCCATGTATTTCTTTGAATATTTTCTTTCATCTTTATCTACACCTTAAACAAGGCTGCCACATTCAGAATTTATACTCTGTCGAAAAAGGGACTGAATTAGAATAAAAGATGCCACATCAAGAGTTTATATTAAAGTTTATGATTTCAAAATGTTTTTGCGGAAAAAAACAAAAAGCTTTTTCATGTTTTTTCTGAGTGAACGTGGCTTAGTTCTTTGTTTCAGTATTGAGCTTTGTTGATGCTGGCGAACTCTGAAGGAATAGTATGTAATTTCCCGCTTTAGTTCTTAATTTACGGTTCTTGCGATTTTTCTTTGGTCCTTTCTTTGCCAAGTTAGACTTTGCTCTATTCCAAGTTGCTTTCTCTTGTATAATATATGAGAAAAAAGGAAAATTGAAGGAAAAAAAAAACATTTGGCTTATTTTTCACTGTAGTTAGTCTTTTATACAATAATACTGTAAGAATATTTCTTAAATTCTAAATATTACTCTTTCTAGATTTTTGAAAGCAAAAGTTTTGGGTAAAACGTTTCTTATATTATTTTACTATATTAGATAGTAAAACGTAGGGTTATTTTCAATAGCCTGTCTATTATTACATTATTATAAATATACAAATGGCATCTCAAGAACAATCTGAATCGTTGCTCGTAGTCTGGTCCTTCAAAAGGCTTCGTACAAGCTCCAGATTCCGTAACGGGCGACCGTCATGTTATTTTTCAGTCTCTTGCTGTTGATTGATTAAAGATTTGTTCTTGTGTCAGATGAAAAGGTATTGTCCATGCACATCAAAAAAACTGCAACAACAAGAATTTGAATTTTCTGTCTTTTTCAACAGAAAAACAATGTAAATAACATTTATGTTGCAATAAAAATGCCACCTTTTTTAAGTTGTATGTCCATTTATTTCTCTCTGAAAAAACTATTTGCAAGGCAAAGGAAGGGTGAAGCGGGAACTAGTGTTCATTTAGACTTCTGTCATTGTTTGTAAAGACATTTCTACAGTGAACCTAGGCCAAATTATATTTTTATAGTTTGTAACTCATTTTCCAGAATAGTATCAGTGGACCATTGTAGGCTGTATAATAAGTACTATGAATACATGTTTCTATTTTCAATAAAGTGTGATAGCAGCGTCCTCAACATGTGCTGTGGTCCTATTTTCATAACATTTATATTCATGCAGAATGTGAAACAGCTGTGGACATGTCCGGTATTAAAGCCACTCCAGTAAGAACACAACATTCTTTTTTCAATAGGGAAAATCAAATCATTATTTGGAGCACGACTTAAGTTTGTTAAAATGTATTTTTTCAGATTGTTAATTGCAAGATTGTTGAAAACAACAAATGGTAAAGCCCCATATGTGTTTATGGTGGGAAAATAGTCACATCTGCACAGAATTATCCTTGCATGCACGTGTGAGCATGAGAGCTCTCATTTCATCCTTAGGTTTGATTCCGGCTCATTTGCTCACAGAATTGACACTCTGCAACATGAATCGTGCATGTCTTTTCTAAAATATTCCCAGCACGAAGCAACAGAAACGTGGGTGGGGTTTTCTGGGCTGTTGGTGGAGGGGGTGCATTTTTCCTGTGAAAGTGGGACCAGCATGTGTGAAGGCTGACTTCCTGTCATGACTGTTGGCCCGCTGACAGAGTCGTTGGCTCGCGTCCTTGAAGCTCGACCAAGGAGCATGCTGCTCCTCCTGCTCACAACATAAAGACCATCCGCCTCTCTGCTAATCCCAGCAAGCACACAGCATTTGCTGTTTTAGTGTTTTGATTGAATAATCACGAAGGACGTGAGGAGAGATTCCGCCTTACATTAATACATTAAAGAGCAAAAATACTAGAAATACTGTATATTGTGCAATTAGATACAACACCCCAAAATACAGCATTCAAAGTCCCTGTGGAGTAAAATAAACCTCTTTCTGACACATTGTCAAACAGCATTACAGAACTGTGGGGTTGTACAACATCCTACAGGTGCAGATTCATTTATGGTAACTAAGTGTTAGCCTGACATAAACAAATGTGGTTATTATTATCAATCAAGTTGTTTTAACGGTTTATTTCACTAAACAGTTTATACAAATGTGGTTTCCATTTAAGATGCTCGGAAAACTGATTTGACATTTTTGTTAATGTTCTTTGAAGATCTAGAATACATCTCTCAGTGCAGCTGAGTGTAAATCCTCCTACTGCTACTTAAAGCCATAAAGACGCTATTCGTCACTGCTTGTATAGTTTGATTAGTCTTGCAATTTCTCCTAAAGTACACACATACAATGTAGGGACCTCATTTAAAAAATAACAGCCATTCTCCAGTAAATGCCGGACATGTTGTGTTTTTTGTCAACCCGCTCAGCATTTCCGATGCCTCTTTCTTTTGCTTCACGTTGTATTCCTGGACTCCGCCGTCCTCACCTGTATCCACTGGTGCATCTACCTCCCTCTCTGTGTGCGTTAACATTACCACGTTCAGGACAGCTGTCCATCCACTAGGTGACGCTCTCGGTATTTAAAGACTTGCAGCAGCAAATTGCATTTCTGTAGAGTGTAATTAATAAACTGACTTTGAGTTTGAGACGTTGCAAATACGTTCTCATTCTCTCGGAATCAAATAATGAATCATTTAGTTTCTACAAAAAAAATTGATATCCATTTAAGTGTGTAACTTTTTTATCTTAATCTCACACTATTTTTGAAATATTTTAGCAGGGTGTCTTTGGTTTATTGGTATTTCTTATTTGTATGTGCGAACTCCTTTTGGTATGTTTTGTTGTATTTGTTTTTACTATGTTGTCCCAGCTACTTGAACATACATGCAAATAGAGCTAATATTTTATTACTCCGCCTGTCATCCTTCTGAACGGAGTTATTTACTTAATTCATTTTAAAATGTATTACAATGAGCGAATAAGGGACACAGTTAATGTAGAGTCGGGCCTGTCCTCGGTTTGTAAATCTGTTCCTGGACCAGCAGACTGTCTTTCAGACGGGGGGGGCGCGCTTGTTTCAGGAGGCGGAGCGGCCCGGAGGGTCGGACGTCCTGCTGAAACTGTCCTCTCCCCTGAAAACAAGACAGAACTAAATAAGTTAGCGCGCAGTGGCCGTGTGGGCATCTTTGCACAGCCTCTCGTCCTTTATAAACCACTAGAAACAAGCGCTCGTATGACCTGCGATCGCTGACCGGGGGAGAACGACGCCGGTGAGTAACAGTAATATTCACTGTAATATGATGAAGGTCTGCTGCCGAGAGCCGCTGAGCCCACAACAAAGATGAAGAGGCGAGCATGTGGCGGTTCGTTACCTCGGTTTACTGAACCGACTCACGGGGGAAAGAAGGAGGCTACTGAGTCGGTGTCTGCTGGGCGATTCCTGACACCTGTTGCGATGAAAGAGTCCACAAACTGCGTCAAACCGACGCTGTTTCTTCCCCTCAGTCCGCAGACGTTACCCGGTGTAAACACCTCAAACCCGTTCTCTGTGCTTAACACGTTTCGTGTTGTGTCGTTTATTTACTTATTTTTTTTTTTTACAGCTTGGTTTCGGTGCGCTCACGTCGCGTCTACCTGCCGCTTCAGATTAACTCTCGTTCGTGTTACGTAACTAAATAATAGTTTCCCCGCAGTGTAAATCCTCGCTGTCTTCAGTGGTCCGGTTCTTACGTTCACTCTCGCAAGGTCAGCTGCTGTTAACCGAAGTGTTTTCTTCGTGTTGTCATGCGAGCCGCTGCAGCTGCAAAGACTCTGTGACACAGAAAACTAATCAGTTCACACGAGGAGATAAAAATGTGCTTTGTTTAAAACTTTGCAGAGTCTCTCCTCCCTCCTCCTCCTCTGCACAGATCAAAGCAAGGGCCTTGGCTTCCAGCCTGAGCTCCATGCTGACCTCACCGCTCACCAGCACAGGGGTCAGTGAAGGCAACGCTGATTCTGTGAACCACAGCTCCTTCTGCAACGACCGATGCAATGGGAGGAAGAGGAAGCGCATGTGACACTAAAGATGAAAGAATCTTTCCGTGTGTCATAGTTCGCTTTAATCCGTAGACCTGCCAGCCCTCTTCCTCGTGCGCAGGACAGGGTAGAAACTAAGTGACGCTTCAAGATCTGACAATCAGCATTCCTGATTGACTTGTCAACATCAAGCTGTGGTGAATGATTTTTATGTATATGAGGAGTGGCCGACAAAGAAAAACCAAGAGGTTTCTGTTCTTTTATTTTTGCAGATGGAGGCCACCTAACTTGAAACTAAGTCGGCCTCTGCTCATACAAATAGATGGATTCACTTTGTTCAACGTTAGTAACCCTTGGGGGTAAAACTGCAGAGGTTCTACGTCGTGCTGTAAATTCTATGTATTTCAGAAGACGCTCACCGCCTCGGCTAATCTTTTCCCACAAAGACCTAATGAAACCCAACACAAGCCTGTGTCAGTTAACACGTTTACATTTTCTCCCAGTAGGTATCGCAATATCTTCAAACCTTCCGTGGTGGTATGTTTTAACTAAATATGCTCGGTAGGCCTCAGTATAGTCTGCCTTTACCTATTTCATGCTAATGTGATCTATCCTGCTTGAGGCTTTGTTGCCTTATCAGCGTCCTCCTTCCAGCCCATCTCAGCACGTCTTTGTATTGTAACATCCAGTATAATGGGACCCTATCAGCGAGGCAAACAGGAACCTGTTCGAAGCCCATTGTCAAATGAAACGCATGTTTACTGCTGATGGCTTTGTCTTCACTGGCATTTGGTAGCTTACTTTAATGTTTGTACACTGTTTCACATTTATTGCCAGCTGTGTTCTCACAATCTTGCCACAAAGTCTTTCCTCAAACCCACAGAACCTCGTATTTATTATAAATGTGACAAAATGTAACCGAACACGATTTTGTTGCTGTCTTTTCATGGCACATCCATGAGCAAGGGCAGCAATTAAAATGTTGTTTACAAATATCGATTACACCGTGTACACAAACACCGTCAAAGTTGTGCAGATAGAAACAGTAGATGGTCATGAGGCTGATGTTGATTCATATTTGTAGACATACTTTGGGTTCTGACTGAGATGTTATAGACTAACACCGTGACCTTATTGTTTCCGTCTTCTTTTGGTCAGAGCACACAAGATGTCAGTGGAGAGAAACAGAACATGCAAAACAAGAAAACAAATGCAAGCGGACCACATAATTAAATGCAGCGAGGCTTTAATGTTTCATTAGTAGCTGACGGGGAAACCCGGAAACATCTGTTGATTTTGCTGAGTTACGCCGCGTCTGACGAATACGCCTGTCTGAATCTTTGCTTGCAGAGGTGGACCACCTGATCCACAGAGTGGGATTCCTTTTCCTTCTGCATTCCCGATGGAGTCGTACGGAGTCTCTGGCGTTCCTAACAGTGGACCGCAGCGGGGCCACCCTCAGCTGTCCCGCCCCTCCAGGCCACACAGCAATGGAGCCGGCACATACGGTCTCAGCATCCGCGTGCAGGGTATCGATGGACACCCATATGTCGTCCTCAACAACCAGGACCGGGCTCCACAATCCTTAATGGACCCGAACGGTAATGGGCACGTTGACACAGACGGCTCTTTTATTGAGAACTATCAAGAGTATGATTTCAGCGGAGGAAAGGAGGCTGGATCCAACAACCCCTTCACGGAGTTCAGGGGTCAGAAGATGACTCAAAATGGCACCGCAGATTCGCTAGGAAAGAAAACGTCCTCCCTGCTGAACTTTCAGAAGCACCCTGAGATACTGCAGCCGTACGATCCAGAGAACAACTCCCTGAACCTTGATGGTCGCCACAGCCTGCCTTCGAGGCCTCTCCCTCTGGCCGAGGCTAGGAAGCAACACCAGAGATCCTCCCCCAAAGCTGGTGAAGATGC